CCCCCCCTCCCCCTAAAAGCGTTACGTAATAAGTGAATGGCCCCAAAAGTAATCATATAAATGTATTCTTTTACCCAATTCAATCATTTATTTTCAGCATTTCCGCATTTTTTTGACACTTATAAAAGCTAAGGATTGTTTAATATTTTCGATCTTTTTGCTTCCAAGCATTTTCTGGTAAATAATAAAGTCTGAAAGGTTATATTTACGTGACTTTGCCATTTATCTTTTTCACATAAAAGCGGGTGGAAAATGTCAAAAATGGTTTATTTTCCTTCTTAAGGTTTATATTATTATCACTTATCGTGGGTTGATATTATGAAATGAATATTTAAGATTACACCTGGTAAGGTAGATTCATAACGGAATATTGCAATATATTGGCATTTGCTTAAAGAGGCTCTTTTGCCTTAAAATCATATTTAAGTTTTATAAAATAAGATTGACTCCAACAACAATAAAAATATTAAAGTAAGAAATCCTATCCTTGAAAGTATTTTAAATAATCATATTTCTCAATGCACACAAATCATTTTGCAGCATAAAAGCAACAACGTTTTCGCTTTTACTTCAATATAATAAATAGGTTTTACTTGTAGCATTAATCTTACTTTATCGCAGCTTTGTAGTAAAGAACACAAAAAAAAAACCTTTGTGTTATTTTCTCCTTTTGTGATATTTTCCAATAAACCAATACAGCATCACAACAATGCTTTCTTTTTCGACATATTGACTTGTGACATTTCCATCTAACGAAAGAAATCGTATTGATTTAGTGCTATTGTTATAACAAATTCGTTTAAGTCTGCTTTCAAAGTCTACAGACATATGCAGATTGATGCTAAATAAACAGCAATAAGCTGAAAAGAAAGTTGAATTTTTTTGGGATATTGCCAAATTTATTAAGCTATGCTTGAATTGAGAATTGATGAAGAAAATTTGAATTTTTATGCAAATGTCCAGGAAATGAATATTGTCGAGTCAAACTTAAAAAGAGTCAAGAACCTCAAAAAGCATGTAGTGTTAACCATCAGAGCAGTGATCTGTCTTTCTGTAAAATATTACAGATTTTAATTAAATGTCAATGCAAAAAGCATAACAACACTGTATCAAAGCATGTGTAGATGTTTCCTTTGAAAATAAAGTTTAATCGAAAAATTTCAAAGACATCAAATCATTTCGAGACATCAACATTCATATTTGAAAAAGCCCATTAACCAAAATTAATGAAGTATGAAGGGCTTGTTTGCTTAAGTAATTGAGCACATGAAGGGATGTGGTCGACCACTCAATCGTCTAGTCATAAAGTATGTTTAAATTTCATGCAGAGAAAATCACACACATGAGCCTTGAATTAATTAAATTAATTTATCATGATGACAATTTTCTTATCAGCGTTGAAGCTTTTTCCAGTTCATGTTGTTTAATAGTAAAATGGACATTCAATGTGTTTAATTATGACATGTAATGTATTGCTAGACATAATTTGACTAATTTGTTAGACATACATAGTAGTAATGGATATAAGTAAGTGATTCTTTAATCAATAAAATATACTGCTTAATCAACAAAACAGTGTGTGTTATAAATCTGAAGGAAGAAAAGTAAATAGATCGTTAACAAGCTTCTTTTAAGGAAGGTTTTAATCCTTACGAAATTTAAGACTTACTCTTTCCCAATAAAAATGTTATGCAATAAGAAAATGTCGACAAGCTAGTTTAAACCGATTTTAATTAATGCTTAATAATGAGAAAACTATTCCAGAATATTGCAACACAAATGCTTTTTGGAAAGACTAAGTTTCCTGTTAATTATGGTTTTAGCATTTTGAGAATCTACATAAAATTTCAGCTGCATTAGGTAAATAAAATCTTGACTACAATTTTTGCGATCATATGAAATATACATAAAATCACTTTGATGTAGTTCTTAGCAATTTTAGTCGAAGCACGAGGAGAAAATTTAATAAAAATTTCTGAATAAGCGATGCGCACATATGCAATCATACAGTTATTATGCGGATGATTCGTGATGAACATTTTGTTATGGGTTTAGTGGTGAATAGAATCGTAGTCAGGATTAGGTTAGAAAAGAACACTTCTTAATTTTCTAAGGAATTTTACGATATTCATGGAATAAAATTACAGTCGTTCACTTATTTTCAGACCCCCCCTCATGTCAATTTTTTTTTTGTTAAATGATTCCTTCCTTTAATCCCCTAAACCCACCTCTTTTACCGTTCTGCGACCAGCATGTGTATTTTTTTTATTTTAAAGAATTCCTTGTTCCTTTATTCTTTTGCATCAACATCATAAAGTGTTTAGTGTGAATGTGCCTTTACATGTGAGTTTGAATTGAAAATGGCAGTTGATGGTGTATGATAATCAATTCCTTACGAACAAGGTGCTGAATTCTTATTAAATAAAAACAAAAATCTTAATTTTTGGATAGTAAGCCAGAATTATTCAGGTTCGAAGCCAAAAACAACGATTATGCATCAAAAACAAGAACTTTTCGAAAATACAAAGACCTTATTACTGACAGCATTCAGCACTCACTGAATGACAGCATATCTTATTGGAATTTTTCTAAAACAATAAACAAGTTCTTATTGTAATAAACTTTTTAAAAATATTAGCTTTTATCCAGCAATTTTAATAATTTTAACGTGAATTCCTTAAAGTTAGCACTATAAGTTCTTAAAAGAACATAATCGTGATTGCGTTTAGATCAAATTATATAAGTAAGTAGCATAAACTAAATATTTTACTAAATTCTCTTATCTTATCTGATTTTGTGGATATAAATGAGCTTGAATCATCACTGCTATATCTCTTCCAACAAATGAGTTAATGAAATTTGGTAATTAAAAATCAAACAATACGATTTTTGCCAATTTACATCCTTCATGTGTCATACAGAAAAAATTTCTTCTTAGCTGCATTCCAATTTCATTTTTCGTTTACTTTTCGTCACGTCAAGAGAAAAGCAAAAACAATACCAGTGTGAAAATAAACATAAACATAGTGAAAATGCCAGATTAAAAAATTTTTGGATGTGATGGATATGATTTTTTGAAAGCGAAATTGCTCCCATAAAAACAACAAGATGAAAAACAAAACAATTGAGTTAAAAAGCTTGAAAACAGCACAAGTGAATTATTTTTTTTAATGCACAGTGTCAAGTGATTTAAAATAATAAATGGTTGCTTTTTACTGCTTACATAGTCAGAAATAAATTTAATCCGAAAAGCAGAATACAAAAACTTTGTAGTTTTGAACATTAAAATGTATGAGAAATAATTACTATAGCATAAATAAATTATGAATTATTGTTTATTGTTTCATTAATCAAGTTACTGTGACTCGCTTTATTTACTCCGATTGTGAAACATCATCAGATGCATTTAGAAGAAATTTTAAATAGCATTGAGAATTGAGAAGCAAAAAAAAAGAATCTTTCTAAGTGAGAAAAGGTTTGCGAATTATTGAATGTAGCGCAAAAAAGTTTCTAGTGAATATAGCGTTAATTAATGATGTATTAGTAAAGGTCAGTTGACGTTGGAATGCAAAGAAGTGCAAATCAGTGCATATTTCTGAATGTAGAATTAAAGTTGATATTAAAAATGAACTAAATACTAAGACTCAATTTTTGGGTCTATTGCTTTGAGGCATTCGATCAAAATCAAATTATATTTTCATTGCTCGCAAAAAATTTAAACTTGTTAATAATTATCAGTTGTTTGTGGTATTTACCCGACTTTATTTTGGGGGATATACATTGTTATGATGATTGTAGCGTTAAACAATATCTTTTGTTAGAAATTACTTTGTACGATTGTCAAATTATTTTCTATAAATAGCTTCAAATTCAAAAGACAACAAGTTTAGTTAAGGTTTATAATAATAGATCAAACATTTATCAAGGTTTTGAAAGATTCTCGAGTCTTATTGTAAGTTATTTTAAACTCTGCAACCTAAACACATGATTATGAAAAAAAAAATAATACAAATCAAGACCTGATTCAATCATTCCATGACTTAATATCTACAAAAATGTCTAGTTTTAATAAAATTGAATTTCATTCTATAATCTGATAATATTCATCCTTTTATAACTGCAATGAATGATGTGCATGTGTCAGCATAATTTATTTGAATTTACTTACAAACTGAGTATCAAAATAAAATAAAGCATAAGTCAAAATGAATACAATTACTATTTAAATATAAGTTTCCAAGCATGTATGGAAAAACAGAACTTGGAGGAAGACGAAAAAAAAATACACCCACAATATCACGTTTCATACATTGCTTGTACGAACGTTAGTGAATAATGTGACAGCGTACACTACATACTTTAATGAAGTCAACGTCATTCATACTAGTGTAACTTTATAAAGTAAAAAATTGCGCGTTTAAATCAATACAAAAATTTTCAAATAATAAAATAATCTCATTGATTGCCGTTTAAAGCTATGTCCAATAATAGAAAAACATATACAGTCTTTCATGTGCTTGTAGAATGATTAATTAACAACTTGAGTTTCTTTGGATACAACCAATTAAACCAGGGAAAAATAATATTTTATGCATAATTTGCTTAACTTGTTGATCTCAATGAACCCTCACAAATCGGAAATGTGCTATATCTTTAGAATCATAGAATGGGAGTCGTTGGTAAATAATGTTTAATGCTTTAAGTTATGTGGTGCTTTACAAAAAAGTATTTTTGCTTGTGACAGCAAAAGGGAGGCTCTTAAAATTGACGAACATTGTTTATGATCGACCGCAATATACAGTACAATAATTCAATTATATCTCACTCTTTTCCTTCTATTTTCACAGCATGGGACATCTATAGAGAGTATAGCTGTCATTCACACACTGTTCTGTATCGTTTGCCAAAATTAAGAAGTTAAAATAAGCACGCATTAGACTACATATCATCTATCAACACCAAACTTTTGTCAACCGTAAAAATTTGTCTTTTATGTCATCATGTCGATGCGATTTAAGACAACATCACCTTCCGCAGTATCATCTCAATCATTGCCGAACTCAAAAATCTCAGATACAATTTCCATTTCATCAACGACAAGTGCATTCTCAACTGGCCCGGATCGACATGGTTTCTATGGCGGGACGCATTTCAGTGATAAGCCAAAAGTGCCATTGTCAAAAGCTCAAATCATAGCTAGGGAAAAGAAATGGCTTCATATGCTAGAGCATTGGTAAGTTGATAGATATTGTATTTGATACATTTTATCACTTGGATACATCTGTTCTGCTGATTGCATGACATTTAGAGAAAAGTTTCAATTTTTCTAGGAACGAGAGTAATCTATGAAATTCCTCTTAGCAATCGTATTACGTCAATTCACTTTAATCATTCTCAAACGTCCTTGTCCTTTCAGGTCAGATTACATGAATCATAATTATAAGAAGATACGAGAACGATGCCGGAAGGGAATTCCATCAGCCGTTCGTCCGAAAGCATGGTTTTATCTATCTGGTGGTCATACATTGTTAGAAGCACATCCGAATGTTTATTTAGAGTTACTCGACCAGTCAGGCGATCCACAAATTATTGATGAAATTAAACGAGATCAACATCGACAATTTCCGATGCATGAAATGTTTTTAGATGAGGATAGACCCGGACAAAAAGAACTATTTAATTTATTAAAGGCTTATTCAATTTTAAATCCACAAACTGGATATTGTCAGGCACAAGCACCAATTGCTGCATTTTTATTAATGCATCTTCCAGCTGAGCAAGCATTTTGGTCATTTGTGAGTATTTGCGATAAATATTTAAAGGATTACTTTACACCCGGCATGGAAATGCTTCAACGTGATGCAAAACTCTTTATGGCACTACTGAAACGTACCTCGCCGCAAGCACATCGGCATTTAGTAAAATCAAAAGTAGAACCGCTTATGTTTATGACAGATTGGTTCTTATGTGCATTGACACGAACGCTAAAATGGGATACACTCCTTCGTGTGTGGGATTGCTTCCTATGTGAAGGAATTAAAGTAGTCTTTAAAGTATCGCTTGTGATTGTTGGTGCAACATTAAGTTCCCATAAAATTAGAAAAAGCAATAAGGATTTGTGTGATGTGTTAAGTTTATTAAGAGCACCGAAAGAAGAAATAATTGATGAGGAATTTATTATGCAGAACATCATGCGATTAAATGTTACCGTGCAGGATTTTATTGTCGAGCATAAGAAGATTGAAATGCAAATGAGGAAACAACAAGTCCAAAATCTTATGTAGAATGATTATCCATTTATTGTATTACCAGGAAAAAATAGCTTAAAAAAAGTTCTGAACTTTTATTTCCTTCTCTCTCTCTCTTCCTTCCATTTAACGTGAGATTGTTTGTGATGTTTTGTGAATATTTAATTTTATTTCTATGGAAAACGATGAATTATTTTTCGTCAACGAGCTATTCTATTATCACGTCTGTCATTTAAGAATGAAGTATAGGGGAAGTTAATTTTATCATTTTTGAAAAGTAAATGACCTGCGAGTGGTCTTCAAGAATTTTGAATCGGGAACAGAGATGAAAATAATTTATTTTCATTATTGTATGCATCCTTAATAGTATATTGAATGTTTATGGTTCAGTTGGTTTGAAGAGTTTTTTTCCTTTTTTATTTTCATAACTTTAAATTGTTAAAACTTTATGTGTAAGCATTCTTTAGGCTTTCTTATTTCAATTAAAAACTTTGAAACTGATGGAAACTGCATTAAAACTTAAAATAAAGTTGTACGACTTGAAAAGTTGATTTTTAATTAAACTTTTTTAAGATTTTTATCAAAAATGCATCTAACCTCTCTTAATAATCTTTAACTCCCTGAAAAGACTTAGACTCTCCTATTTTAAAAGTGTTTGAAAGACTAGGACATTTCTTAATCGAAATGAAATGAGAACATCTTACTTTAATTTCTTATTTCTACAGAATCAACCTGGAATGAATTCTTTGAAGTCTATAAAATAATATTTTAACCTTCTTAGAAAATTGCAAAATTCTTGAAAATGCTTCCTTTTTGAACTTAAAGACATTTCAGATATTTCCATTCATTTTTGGTCCGAAAAGAATTCTTTGAAAGATTAATAGGACAGATTGAAGCCATGCGTAATTCATTGAAGAAATTGTAATGAAATATTTTTGACAATAAAAGTTGATGGAAAATTCTCCCAGAACCAAAGCTTTGTTACAAAATATTGCATTGACGATATTTTGAAATATTTATGCTAGAATTATTTTCAATGGATCTTATTCTGTCTTCATTTATACAACTTCTGTGTGATTGTTGCAAACAATTCAACAAATTTTCTGCTTTATTCTTATAATGCAAAACTTTTGAATAACTTTTATTAAGAATAGATGCTTGAGGCAAGCTCAAAATAATTGAGTTTTCTCTTCGCACATCTGTCCGATTATAATCATCAAATAGAGGATTCAATTTTCCGCAATGCCTCATCAAAATTCATAAAAACATTTAAGACGAAAAATAATTTAATTGTTTTCCTTCAACTTTATCCTCATTGTCCCTTCCTTTATTCATTGAAATTAATAAAAATTTAATTAATTTATGATTTAATCCCAAGGCAAGGATGAAAAGATTTTCTTTTTTCTGATTTGACGCTTGAGAATTGGATTTTATACCCAAAAGCTTATTTTAATGGAAAATCTTTGAGTATCAAACTCTACTTTTATACACTTTAATGATGTAAAGCATTTGGAAGGGGATTTCAATGACTCTCTAAATGAAAGTCTGTAAAGTATGTTCAACTTTTCTTTACTATGAGAGTTAGAGCTTTCGAGAATATTGTGATTCTATCGCTTAAAAGATTATGTCGAATATCAAGATTTTAAAGCTCTTGTGTGGAACTGATCAAAATGTGACTATTCAGGTCCACATCATTGACCTTACCGACATCTGATCCTGTCATAAAGAGATCCTTTGGGGTTAAGGGACATTTACATTTAAATATATACTTCATTTATTTACCAACATCGCGCTTCAAATCAGAAAAAAAGCTTCTCCCCTTAAATGATCCTAATTAATCAAAATCATAACTAATTTAACCCCCAGGAAATGAAGAAAACAACCATAATATTATGAATTACTTTAAATTATGAGACATTTCTAGTGATTGAAAGTTTAAAACTTGGCAATTGAATAGAATTTCTGATTTCATGCCAGAAAAATTATTAGATAAATTTTAAGTAAATTAGCTTATTGGCTTGCTTTAAATTTTCAATCGTCAGAAAAGAATAAATCTTTGTATTATTAACATACCGCTAGCAATAAGACAATGATTAATTGTAAGCATAATATTTTGATAATTAATAAAAATGATAAAATAAATTTTTATAGGAATACTAATTAATATATGGAACTAATTGTGTCTATCAATCTTACGTCAGTTTACTATTTTCAGATTCATTAGGGAACAAGTCATTGAATTCTTTTAATTAGTATATTTATTTGTGGTATGAGCTTGACTATATTTTTTCACAATGATTCTTATGGGAGCAGAATGGAATCTATAATATCAAGCTATTTATAGGCAAATCTTCCAGATCTAGTGCTATACAATATAATATAATGAGAAATGCAGATTTTCCAATCATTACATAAATTGTTGACGATATGACAAGGATTTTCATAATGCTGATATTACAGCATTATCCACTGTGCAACTAGAGTTCTTTAATTATCTTATGCGTTCACAAGAGATTAATTAAAGAGCAAAATGAAATCGAAGATAGGCAAAGAATAAGAGTCTAGTCCCTGTAAGCATTACAGATATAGAAATCAGGAAAAGATTAAACGATGAATAAGAATAAGAGAACTCATTAAATAACATTTAAGCTGTAAGACGTGATTTCACTTGTATTGACTTTAAGTATATTTAACTTTTAATTCTACGAGAATCTAGAAAAATGGCTGTTCCAAATACAGGGATTTTATTGAGATTATTCACTTATCTTGAGTATCAGCTCAAGGATATTATTTTCTTGAATTCTTAAGATTTTTCAGGATTAGCTCTGATTTTCCACGCAATGAATACATCTAAATCATTACCACTGGTTAATTAATTTAGCATAAAGCGTTCGCAACATTAACCAGAAAAAGTTCATCATTATAATCCAAAATATAAATAAGGATAATAAGAAGAACTAATCTACCTGACTAATAAGTTTCTATTTATTTGCAATTGATTGTCTTCATTAGAGATCTAACAAATTCAAGTCACAGACTGTAAAAAGAAGATACTTGGGTCTAATAAACTTTTTGTTTTCTATTTTCTATATCCAGCAGAGAAACTTTATGTTTGCGAAAGAAGATCAAAGGTATAATTTTTTTTTTGACAATATAATAAAGCTTTTGTGGATGTTTTTTTATGGTTTTCTTAAATTTATAAATAAATTTTCTAAATGGAATCTGAGTCAAGCTTTAGACACAAACCATAACATTTTGAAAACTGTTTAATTTATTATGAAAACTTGTGCTGATATTTCAACTCAGTTCATTTAAATTGTAGTTGCAGGCATAGAAGTTTAGAGAACAATACAATGCCTAAAAATTAACAAAAGGACATTAATAATAAACAACGTCGATCTTGATGACAGAAAATATAAAGAATAATTCAAAAGGATTTTGTTTTCAATTGAAAGGATTTGTCCACAATAGCTTAACTTGATTTATCACAAAGAAAACTCAATATAAAGTTCTCTTCAAGCTGCTTAAATAAATTTTATATTTTGCTGACTCAATCTTCAAGAAATAAAAAGACGAGGAAAAAAATTAAAGCATTTAATTTCTATCAGCTTCCTTTCGAATTGAAGTTATTGATGGTCAGAAACTTTTTTTTAAAATGATGTCTTCTTTATATCACAGATTTTTTTTTCGCTTTTTATCTGATGATTAACGTCTCATAATTTTGTAAATATTTGATGGATGAAAAATTAATTACTTTTTGGCTGTTTATAAATGATGTTCATTGAAAAATTAGAACTTGTAGACTCTAGGCTCTGACATTATCTAAAACTGTTGGTTTAAGTTTGAACCATCATTTGTGAAAGTATCACTTGCATTGGAACTTATGAAATAAACAACTTTGAAAATTAAAATTTGTACAGCATTGAAGAATAACCCCTTTTTCCACAAATTAATTTTTGAGTGAATCCATACTTCTTCTCAACAGTCTTGTAAACCAAACTGAAATAATTTTAATTCATCTAAATATTTCACTTCGGGGAATTCTTAATTTCATTGGATTATAGCTTTTCATTCAATGCATTTAAGATTCAATGTCTTAATACTTGCAAAAAAGAGAAGATTTTAAAGTCTTCTGATTTCTATGGTACTATTTAATTAAAATAATTTTAAACTTATTGTTTTAATCTGATTGTTGGACAAACAAATTCATATTGTACAAATTTCTTATAAGAAGAAGGGCTTCAGTCTTTATTTGCATAAACAGTAAATTTTGTGGATCTTAATTTTATTTCAAACAAACCCACATCCTCAGAAATCTTTAATAATCACAAGATTCACAATAATTGAACCTTTTAAACAATTAATCCAAAATTTAAAATTTGAGGGTGGTAAGGCTGAATTAGAGAGAGTATTGTAAAACTTGCTTAATGATAATTGAATTATCGAGAAGTGAGAGTGTTTGCATATTACGATTTTGTTGATTTAGATATATCAACTGTTTCTGACCAAATTTTGGTAATTCGTTTTCGTAGATTTTTAAGCTTTTGGAAACAATATTGATTGTTTGTGGTGTCAACAGTTGAAATCAATAGTTATCACTAATTTATGGATATTATCCATATCCAATTATTTATATTAAGTCAACAATAAAATATCAATTTGTCTTTTTACACAATAATGCAACAACTATGTACCAAACCTACCTCTTTCCACGAAAATTAAATTTTTCACGTCCATAAACTGTCAATTGTATTTAATGCTTCAATTTCACCTCACTTAAACATTTATATTGTCAGTCATCAATTCACGTTTCACTTCTATTCAAACTTTTTATCGCAAAACCACATACTACTGCGACCGATTTATTCAAATATCCACAAATAAATGTTTTCAAGTTCAACCGACAATTTTCCTGTGCTGTTATCACTTTCACACTTTTTGCAAGCATCCACAAATCTTTTTACGCATGGCACGGATATCCATAAGATTTATTTCCACTCTCGTTCATATGAATAATGAGACTAAATATGGATTGTGCATAAACACACTTAACAAGGTTTTTTGAGAATCAAATCTTAAGTACACAATTTGTGAAAAATTTTATGTGTGTTCTGTTTACACGAAAGGAAATAGCCCAAATATTTCCACTTGCTAGGAAAAACAATTAATCAAAATTGTTTAACTGTTTGTTTAATTTTAAAATGTAAACATTTTTGGACCTTTTTTCAACTGTTCAATATATTTTAAAAGTGTGTGAGGAAATTACTCAATATGTTTTGGAATACAAAGTTAACCTCAATATTAATAATCAGATGGGGATTTACAAGGTTAAGGGATTAAACATGAATTATTTCAATTTATAATGTCAGCTTTGCAATAAAGATCATTAGAAAACTTTTCAAACTTTGTGTTTTCAAGAATTTATTTAATCTAAGCAATCACATCATTGATTTGAATTCATTTTTACACAAAACATTTAAAAAGTAAACAAAACAAAGATTCTTGAGGATATGATCGACGATTTGAGTTATTACGTGTATATTTCACTTACTCTGCTGCCAGTTTACTTTATTTTCAAATTGCTGATGTGGATGGGATGGGAGTTGTTCATTAATAATTGAAGATTTGTAAGTTTTTCATTCAATTTATTAAGAATCTTATTTCATTTTTAATATCTTCAGAAGTGATACCAAAAAAAGGATTTTTGAACATTTTCATTCCATTTGAAAAGTCAGCAGAGTAATATTACCAAATAAAAAGACAGGAAGTTGAGATGCAACAAGAAATGATTTGTATATATTAAATCAATGATGTAAATAAACAAAATTTGTTTAAGTTATGAAATACTCAAATTTATCAAGACCTTTACTCGAGAGGTAAGATTCCCTTACAAGGATCATCAATAATCATTAATTATGTAGCTATGGTGTTTTAGTTGGACATTGAGCAGCATATGTAGATCTAAACCCGAGCGGCACAAGGTGGAGGGTGGTCTCCATATGGAATCCATATGAAAGCCACCTCCACTATGTGGAAAGTAAATGGAGGGTTATTTTTTCATCCTTCATATTGATTCCATTTGGATTCCATATGAACTCCGCTTTTTCTTAAATCAAATACCGAAAAACTCGTGCTTTTGAATTTTTAAAAGACAAAGGTCAGATCTTACTGTAATGGATTGAAATATTGTCGAAAAGCTTTACTGAATCATATTGCTTCATTTCAAGCTTTAAAAAAGCAAAAAAGGATAATTTTTTGTGATTTTGTATGAAATTACATACTTCACAAGCGCATGCAGAAATCACTATTATATGGGGTCGTTTAATTTGTATGAAATTTTTTAATAATTTCTTATTTTTCTCACGCGTGTGATCGAGACTTAGAAATTGCTGTGGTTGCGACTTAATTAAATTAAGTTGTAAATTTTTCAATAGTGTTAGTGTACTTTAATTAAGTCCACTAATACAGCTACAAATCTTGATATAAAAATTGCAAAACATAGAAAAACACGTGGAAAATCGTACCAAAAATCCTTTGAAAAATACTTCCATTAAACCTCCGTTTGACTACCACAAATGGATCCTCCATCCTCCATCAAAACCTCTCAAATGACTTCCATTTGGTGTTAATAAATGCACGTCCCACGGAAGATTTTCGGAGCTTTGGCTCCGTCAAGGTTCCGAGATAGTAAGGTTATCGGAAGATTTTCAAATGGAGGGTGGAACATGGAGGCTCCGTATAGCTTCCATATGGAAGGCAAATGGAACCTTTGTGCCGCTCGGGAAAGTATTCCTTATCAAAATCTGAAAGATTCACCGACCGAAACAATGATTCAAAATACCACCAAGTATGTGGTAAATCATGGACCTATTGAGTTCAAGGCACCAAGTATGTAGAATAAAACTCAATTTTTAAATTATATTTTACAGATTTAAATTTCTTTAATAATTTTTTATTTACTGAATCTTTTTTATTACATTTTACAATTCATTATGATTTCCCGAATCTATTTTCTATAGTTCAAGACCATAATCAAGGTCTGCGTAAATATCGTAATTCTTGCGTGTGTGTCCCTCTTGTTTATTTTGGAATGATTTATTAATTTAACATAAAATTATTTTCATCAGTTTTTAATCATTCCATTTTTCTTTCTTAATTTCCACGCGTGGCATGGACGCTAGTCGATCATTTTTTTTTTGATTTCACATTTAATTTATTAAAATAAGGTTTAACTTAAAAAGAAAGGCAAATAATTTTTTTTTCTTCATTTTTCAAAGATTTTATTCCGCTCTTAAAAATTAATTAATTTTTTTTGTTGTATTAAAAACTAAGATATTATCTCTTTTTTAAAAAGGGGGCTGGATATTATAAACATAATACATAATATGATATAGATAGATTTTTTTTATATATTGCATAAAGTAGATAATTATCAGAGAATGGAATCTATTATTTTCTGCAGAATTTCCTAAGACTCGATCGAAGGATATAAAATTGGAGAATAAAATGACTTTTTTCCACACACCTAATTCAACTGTTAGCTAGACAAATTAATGTATATGATCGAATTGCATATCATTGCAGATATTTTAACCGTTTTCTTTAAAGACACAGAACATGTTGTGTCCAAATAAATTGCCTGAAAATCTGCAATAGCTTCCAGTCAATCAATAAAGTCATTTGTGTAAAAAGTTTGTAAAAATTGCTTCAAAATTAAAATAAGAGTTGTGAATGCAAATAAATTCATAAATTAAAAAGTTTAGAGGAATGGAAATTAAGGCTCATTTGCTTAGGAATCGATCAAACATTTTGTACCGAAAATAACATCTAAAACAACAGATTTTCCTTTAAGAAAATTCATTATTTTGTGCAAAGTTGGGAGGTTAAAAGTCTCTCTTCTTGATTAACATCATTTATGAACAATCCCTTAAAGAAGCCCACAAATCTTGTTAGAATACAAGTTGTGAAAACATAGTCATAAGCTTCACATTCCTTGTACAAAACGAGAACTGTTTTATAAAATTTGAAGAGGTTCATGCAATTGAAAAGAGAAGTTGAAGCTAATTTATATAATATCTAGATTAAACAATGAATTTTATCATCTGAATAGAAATGATAACAATTATGATTCATTAAAAAAAGCTGTCAAGTGTTTTCTATTCAATTTTAAATGAGGGAGAAATGTATGGAGTGGAAGTGTTAGGATATAGTCTGAGTTTTTAGCACACGTAACGATTATTAAGTCTAAATTAAATGGAAGTGGATAAATTATTTTATATGTCGCAACATTTTTTTGTTTCTGTCAGTTTTTGCAGGCTTGTGCATCAAATATACTCCCTCTGTATTAGGTTGATATATAATCCTTCTTAAACAAAAGTTTTAAGTTCTTTTGATCCTACTACATAATCGCGTTCAAAGGTTCAGGACTGATCAAATATGACCAAACCTAGATAGTGACATTACGACAAAGAACGAGACTTGTTGCTGTTATATCGCATTTTAGCTACATCTTGGGATTATAAATGTCTCATGATTTGGATCTGATTTAATCTATAGGATCAATAGGAAGCTATTGCAATTAGCCATTCAATCAAACATTTAAAATTGTTTTTCTAGGGAAAACTTAGATTTCAGAAACGGAACTAAATTTACAATTACTATTTCAACACAAATGTTTCAAAGAAGCTAATTCCCAGACTATTTCCACTGCTAAACTAATTTTTAACGATAAATAATTGTCGGACAAGATGAATCATAAAGCAAAATTTTCTATATTTTGTTTTGCGAAAGAAGAGACGTTCTAAGATATACAAAATATTAACAATTTAAATGGCTACTAAATAGTACATTAGATGATCATCAGCTTCTTTTCTTTCGCTAATAATTACTCATTCTCACATAATCACATTTGAACCAATACTCAACATTGATATTTTTTTAACACTTGCACCATCATTTCCTTGATTCTTCATCATAACTTTAATTGTTTTTTGTCTTAGTGCTGTAATTTTTGTACGGGACGAGATGCACTTGTTTGTTATTTTAATTGTGTGATGGATTAAAACTGAAGATAAACTGTTACAGCTGTGATTTTCTTCAATTATGAACATTCCCTAAGTGAACTAAGGATTCTCAATATCTTGTTATTGAATCCAATATCAACAACCTTTTTATCATTACCACTGCTATTGATTTTTCATGTTAACACAGGTATTTCCTATAATCTGACCTTCACACATTTATCATCAACATGTTCACAATTTCACCATAACACTACAACTAAACAGCATATCCGTGATCATCCCTGCTTGTTATTTTTGTAAAACACACGATTTACCATATTCATAACTTTTGCTTATCATATTAATTTAGGTATTTATAAAATTTTTTACACAATTTCTTCTTTCATCTGCGCGAATGTCCTCATACAAAAATCACTTCACTATTTCTCCATATAAATTAATTAATTAATGATTTTATCATCAACGAAAAAATGAAGCAAAAAAAATATTATGTTGCTGGTTGTTTTATTTCCAATTTTTTTTTCGGCGAAAACTCTTATGAAATATATCAAGAAAGATAGTTGTTAATTACTCATTATTTCGTGAATGCCATAAAGACAGCCCAAACAATTTCATTTGTGTTTGGCTTTGCCGCTTCTGCCTCAAAATCTAAATCCAGTAATTCTCTAACGCGACGCATTGCTAAATCATAATCGTCGTCGTTAAGCGGTGCAAATGCATTCTCTAAAACGTCACTAGCATGCGCAAGGAATATTAATGACAGCATACGCTTATCAATTCGCTGTGGATCATTCACCCATTTACTTAGAACTGCATCTTGAATCTTAAAATACAGAGAAAGAAAGAGAAAATTGTTTTAAATAAGATAATTGTTTAGACACAACTGTTATGCTGTGCTTGATGTTTACATTTTGAGGTATAGCTTATTTATATGAAAGTTTTTTTGGCATCATTTATGTGATCTTTTAAAGACATATGTAGAATACCAGATTTGATATTTAATGTAAGCTAGTCATTACTATTTGAGACTTGTCTGTGTATTTACAGCCTCAAAAAAAAAAAGACTCACCTTCTTAACCAATTTAGACTTAATATTGTTGTCATTAAGTGGATGTGTAGTCATATCAAATAATAGAAAATTCTGTTTCTCTGTTGTCAATACGCCTTTCTCAACTAGATTTTTGGCAAGCCTTTCACGCACATTCTTTAGCTGATAACGTAATTTCAATGGATTCCATGTTTCACCTGTGTAATTATACAAAATAATGATTATGTATGATGACAACCGTTATGATTATGTTTGCATGCTGCACAATTCCTTTTATTCATGAATGATGCAAATCTGTTGCTGTAAATGAGTTCTAAAGAAAATGTCGCAACTCGATAGATTGTATTTCTTGCCATTTATGGAACTAGGTTAATAACTACGAATTGTTATGTTGATTGATTTGTTTAAGCATCTTTAAATGACAATGTGTTAAATTTCTGAGGAAAAACCTATTGAGTCATGGATTTATGCAAGCTATTAATGGGATACAAACAATATCCATCCAGTTTTCGAATCTTATGTAAATTATTGGCCATAAAAAATTTCTTTGACGTCGAATTGGGATAAAAATAAATTTACCATCTAGAAAGGCTTAAAAACCTGTTTTGAGCATCTTAAGAACTTTATTATCATGATAAGTGCCATTAATAATGCGCATTTAATGACCATTATTAAGTTTAACTCAACTTTGGACTTGAATCACCAACGTCATACGAATCGGCAAAAGAGTTTAAAGCAGAGGGCGAAGTCGACTCGGATTTTGTATGGAAAAGTCGACTTGAGTTCACTCGACTTCATACAAATTTCGAGTCGACTTCGCCCTCTGGTTTAAAGGAGACAGGCAGGGGATCCACAACATATTTGAGGGTAGGGTTTGACTTCACCTCTAATGCTGACTGACTAAACAAATCTCAAATTTACATCTTCAAAAGCTACGAGGCTATTCATCTAACACCCAAAAAAAAATCAGACTTTTTGACCTCGAACTTCAGTGTCAACAAGTTTGAATCAATTGATAATAGACAGGGTTGGTCAGCAACAATTTACAGCATTCATCAATAAATTAAATTGTTAAATTTACCGCTTAAATATTCAATCCAACTTTGAATCGTTTCTGGTGGATCTGTGTCTTTTATGTGCTTTAATGCTTCATCCAATAGAACATCTCCCGTTGGTGTGTCTGATTTCAATATTATTTTTCTGTATCAGAAATAAGTAAAAAATAGAATTAGATAATTAATACAAATAATTCTAGTAGCTATAACTACGGCAGTTACCTAGAGCACAGTCCACGTCGTCTCATTCCAGCTTTCTCTAATTCAACTCGCCCTCTCAGCCCCAATTCAATCAGAATACATCCACGAAGTCCACTTGATATGCAATCATTCCAAAACGATGTATAGCCCTAAACGAAATAACAAGCAATAAGTAATCGATATAAATAATAATGTGTGCCTTATTAATTATTTTCATTCATTATTCACATCACTTTATTGATCCGTGAAGGTGTAGTTTTGTGTATATGCATGAATATCACGGAATTAGAGCGGCTGTGAATGCCAAAAATTAAGATTTTTTTATCAAGAATCAAAGTGGCAGGGATTTAGAGCCGTAAAATGAGCTGCTAGCATTTTTATGACCCAACCTAGTCTTTAGTTCAGCACATTCTTTTTAAACAAGATTCATGTCTAGTCTGAGACAATTCTTTCCTTTTTCATCAATTAATCTATGGTTTATCTCATTTACATAACTACATTTTCTCTATTGGACTGACCCAGTGATAGCCAAACTTGTTTTCAATAGCAAAAAGCAAGTTGAAAGGGAAATCAAAGAAATTTGAATATATTTGTTTTGTTGCGAAAGAAGATGCCACATGCTTTGTGTTTTGGATTAACTGAATATTTTTGAGCATGTATGAATAATTTTTTTTTGCATTTTAAGTTATCCAGACTGGATGTTTTAGAATCAATGATCAGTTAAAAATTAAATTACAATCGATTAATTGACAAATTGTCAATTGATATCTTTTAGAGATATGGAATTGGTTATCAATCAGTATCAATAATTAAGTGCTGTGTACCTTGTTCAATTCAGAAGATGAATTGAGTTGAGGGATTGTGCTTTAATGACGTCAAATTTTTAAAGAAGAGTCTTTAGCTGTATCTCAAATTATGTATGTTTTTTGACTCAAAAAAGTTTATCCGACTCTGAATTAAGACTTAATTTCCTCAAAACAACATGAGACAATATCCTCACAATTTCACCATCAATAAGATTCGATAACATTTGATATTTTGTAACTCAAACATTGTCTCAGCATGCACAAAATCTTTATTAACTCGACTTATAGTGATTTTGATACAAATAGGCACGACTTGCTTTTAATATTATGCATCTTTAAAGTCATTACCAAAGTATGTATTAGATTCAAAACAACAATAATACATTTGTGTCATTAATGACCTATGACATTTGAAGCATGTCCAAAAAAACCCAAAATAAAATCAAGTTGATATTCTAAAGATCAATTTACTGGAAACCCCAATTCGACTCCCACGTGCAAACCCAAAAATGCCACGGGACATAGTTTAGATACTAAACAGCCACTCTACTCGGAAATGAAAATAAAAGCTTGATAAAAAATAAAAATTGTATTGTAACAATTTTGAACAAGACAACATGAATTGGACTGATAAGCTGTAACTTTTTTTGTGTGTGCTATTCGTCGAATATACAAAAAAATGTAAACTTTATATTTTCGCCAAGCTCGAACGCAACTTTAAATTGCTTTAAATCTATGAGTAACACAACTTTTTATTAGTTCTGTTTTCAATTTTGATAATACCAAGATAAAGCTGATAAGACTTCCAATACACCGCTATGCAGCAAATTATTCCCCGTACATAAGAATTTTGTTCAAAGACATAGTAAGTGACTTTTATAGAAAGGCAAAAAAAAGGTTCATTTTGCATGTCACGAAAATTTTAATAATGCACGACTTCTTCAAGTTCCAATTTTTAAAGTGTCTAGTAGAAAGTGTATTAGTGAGATATTGAGTTATTAGTAATCACGATTGCCAAGTGATGACGAATAACAGGCGATAAAGTTGCATTGAATCTTTACAGCTATCGATTGTGGCTGATTTCATGTGAAGAGAATTGTAAATTCATCAAATTTTAGATGATGTACATAGCTTGTAATGTATGTGGATGAAGAAGAAACAATACAGAGAAAAATAATAAATGTCATCGCATTAATGATTATTAAGCTCTTTACTGCCATTTTTTTCAAACTTCCCTTTTCTCTAATTTTCGTGCCTTTATGTTATGCATTTTTTCGTACATTCCAAAACGATTCATTGAACTCGCAAAATTTTAAATCTTGTTTGCTTCACACACTCATACGTACTTCCTTATCCTTAAGTCCAAGTAATAATACTTCTTCCATTAACGTTAATCGTGTCTCTTTATCTGATGACTCTTCTGGATTCTCGTCTTCTGATCCATTTTTGAAATTGTCATTATGATCATTATTTGTGGAAGTACTTGAACTAAATTCTGTGCTACTACTCTTTGCTGCATTCGTCCTTCTTACTAATCCACCAGATGAGCTAGACGAATTCATTTTATACTATAATTTATATTTTTTCTTGTGTGTATTAATTTCTACTCTTTTTGAGAAAGGGAAATTTTCACTTTTAATGTCTCTTTTATGTCTATAGTTTCACTTTAAACTATTCAACACGATTAATTTAGATATCACCAATAATTTAAGCTTTGTTTTGTGCAAGAGATTATGATAAAAATGGGAAATATTACGATTGTTTAATTTTTTCATCCACGAATTAGGTATTTTTTTATTTTCGTAAGCACAAAATGAAGTCTACAAACTAGTAAGCTATTAAAACACTTAGTAGCTATGCTGGATGCGCTGTTTTGTCGAAAAATGATTTATAATAAAAAAATTATTGTTTGTTTACAAAAAAATAGGGCTGACGTCAAACAATTTGAATAAATATTTCAACGGTTTTTGTAAAATCAATTTAAATCATCAATTTTTAAAGTTGCACAAACAGAACAATACAGCCAAAGTGACAGGTTTTATTATTGACTTTCTTGCTAAAATATCTACAAAACCATACAAAATTGAAGTTCTGAAGATCAAAGATACAGAAAATTGCACAGCAAATAAAAATGTTAATACAGCAGAAAGAGCTTAGTGATTTAATCAACTGTTCGTACCATAATTGGTATGATGACTACAAGAAAAACTGCATCAAGTCATTCAGCTTAGAGATTCCAGCAGATGTGCTTAATTATTTGAAACAAGATTACTTCGTTTTACCAAAAGAATGCAACTTAAGTGATGCCTGTTCATCAAATACACAAAAAATTGGCGAGACAAGTAGCTTCTCGGACGATGAAGCTGAAGAGGAAAGTGCTCCTGAGTTCAGAGAATTTTCAGATAAAATTACAAAGATTATTGATAAATTAGGTAAGTTTAATTCATAATTGTGAAATTCTGAAGCAACGGATCAAGTCAGACTTAATATTCTAACAATTTTAATGTACGCAAACAAAATCCAGTAAGGCATAAATATGTTATTAACTTTTTAGGTGGCTCAGCATTCATCAAAACGAACTGGCACTCACCAAAAGACTCAGTTTGGATAACAGCAGGTCAAACCTTGCGTGTTAAAGATTTATGTGATGTATATCAGTTGCTTAAAGCATCAAGTATCTGCAAAGAAGATCTCAATCATGTCAGTGAATCCAACTTTTGTCATATTATCTTCAAGAAATGGAAGGATGTTCACCCAGGAACAGAATTTCGATGCTTTGTAAGAAATAGGAATCTTATTGGAATCTCACCACGCGATTGGCCACAGTATCATGAACATTTTAAGGCACAGAAGAGAGATATTATTAAGGATATTGTTTCGTTATTTAAGGAAAAGATTAAAGACAAGTTCCCAATTGATAACTGTAAGTTGAACATCATCTTTATGGTATATTCAGTTGTTAACTGTAAAATCATTTATTGTAGACTGTTTCGATGTGATTCGTGAGACTAAGGATCATGTAATACTAATTGACTTTTCACCATTTAATGAGAAGTACACAGCACCACTAGCATTTGACTGGAACTTCCTTCTTGGTGATGAGATAATCATTGAAAATGATGATGAAGAGTCTGATAATCCAGAATTCAGATATCTCGATAAAGATGTTGGCATTCAGCCAAATCCACGAAACAATTATGGTTTTCCACAGGAAATGATTGAAATGTTTAAGAGCAGCACGTTATCTGATGATCAAATTGAGGAACTCAACAGAATTACATTGGAACAGACGGAAGCTGGCAGCAGTCAAGAAAATTAAAAAGAACGTTTAATTATAGAAAACAACTCGCATTTATTATAATTTTCATTATTTACAATAAATCGACATAATTCGTCTTATTTACAAAATCAGAAATGGATTAATTAAATTAATTTTCCTACGATGATTTTTTTTTTTGTTTGGAAGGAAGGGAAGTTTTGATATGCTGGAAAGTCGTTCTCCTTCGTCATTTAATTATTAATCATTAATTTTGGAAATTTTCTAATACACGATTAATGAATGTAACAAAAGGAATTTAATATATTAATTATTATTATTATTTTCTAAATGACTTTTTGTATTTTTTTTTTGTCTAGTCTCACATGATCAGTACACACTTTATTTAGATTGTGATAAAATCATTCTGTCTTAATTGCCTGCTTTCCTCTCCTTATTGCTTTCTTGGGGACCTTTTGAATTCACATTGTTCATTGACGATAATGTTATCTGAAATTGTAAAAGTATTAAGTAAGTCAATAAAGGAATGTTGAAAAATAACGGTTAAATCATATTTGAATAGAAAACAGTCAGAGAAAAATTAAAAAATATGTTCGAAAAATTAATGTCGAAAACTTCGTAATTTAAGCCGAAAATTTGAATTTTAATTGTCGGTTATATAATCTATGTAATGTTTTATCACTTTTAAATAGTTTACACCACAACAATGAGCTTAAATAAGCAATTTATAAAGAAAAAAATAATTTATGAATTCATTTACTAACACATTTACATGTTTTGTTTACTTTTGATATTTTTGTCGTGAAATTTTTTAAATTACAAATTTTTTCTTTTATCTAATCATTTTCAGCTCAAAAACATTTGAAAAATCTAAAAGATAATTTACTTTAATGAACCAAATCCAAATAGTAAAGCTTTGAAATAAGTAAAATTAAAGGTTTTTTGTAACGGTTAAAATAGATTTAAAATATTCAAAAAAATCGGTTAAAACTCTGAAACTGTAATTTTCGAGGTGTCGTAACACTGGTCGAACGTTACTAAGCTAGTTCCGCAATAGCATAATATGTCACTTAAAGCAATAAAATGCCATACTCACCTCTAAATCATTTTTAAGATTTAAGGCCTCTCTTAAGGTATTAGCTTCGACGGTAAAGAGGAAGCATGTAGGAATTTTGACATCATCTGTACCATCGCCTGACATCGCAAATGGCGGTGAATTATGAATAGAAGTATCAGGTACATTATCGATAACAATAACAGCACTTGCTCCTGCATTCATCGCTCGTCGTGCCTTATCTACAAATGTGCAATCGCCTCGTTCAATTATTGCAATTTTACCGCTAATTTCATCCTTATTTTGTAAATCCGTACATAAATGGAATGGTTCTGCGAAGACTAATTTAGATTTAATTGGATCGACAATGTCTGGACTGAAATGTGAAGGACCAGCAGACAAAGCAATCTCATCGCCAGTCGTTGGATGACGAAATGTCACAGCATGTAATTCTGAGGATGGAACTGCATTTGATTTAGATAATTCGACCATTTCCTGCATAAAAAGTAATCCACGCTCAGCTTCTTCTACTGATTTGGCCTACAAAGAGAAAATTGAACAGTTAATGATGAGCAGCACAACAGCAGTTACTTACATTGTAGAAGCTATGAAGCAGCTGAACTTTTCCGTTGCCCAACGAAACCATCGTAACTCCCATATCGAATATTGCTCGAAGATGGTCTGCATTATTTGCTTGAAATTCAGCAGCACGTAATCGATTAGCGACTGAGATTCTTGGGCATGAGGCAGTGACCAAATCTCGGAGAGGACGACGGACTGTTTCAGGAAATAACTTGTTTGGTGATGGACATGAGCGCATAAAGTCTAAATCTATTGCATGATTGTCATCATCATCTTTATGCATCGATCCTGTATGATTTGATAATTTGCCGAGACTTAATGGAAGTAAATGAGCTTCAGTCGTGAATATAAAGTCATCAATATTAAGTGGAAGATCTTCATCATCACTAAACAGCAAGTAAAGATATTTAATTGTTTCTGATAATAAAAATGAATCCATTCTGTCTTCATGCTTTCCCGTACGAATATCATTAACAGCTGCATAGCCACAAGGAACTTTTGTATATTTCTGGATAGTCTTTAATGCTTTCTTGCCAACATGAAGATAGTAATGATCACCAGTTGCACGATAAAGAAAATAAGTTGATTCTATAAATTCAGGACGTAAATGATATTGTCCCCAATGAATCTGAAAATCATAAGTGAATGCTTCGGGTATGAACTTGTACATTTGCATGACTTGATAAAGCATCTCGTGTGTTTGAACTGCAGGCTTTAAATCTCCAGACAAGACCTGTAGACCAGGCCAAAAAGCAAGTAATGCATCCATAAAGTTTTTACTCTTTGTGTGAGGACGATGCATGTGGACATCCAAAAAGATTGGACCTTGTCTGACATACTTCATGACTGCATTATAATGCTTATTAAAACGTGACAGATAACGTTCGTCGCCAAGTAAAATGTATGATTTTAAAAGATATTCATAATATGAATCAATTCCAGCACCAACGCCTGAATCTCGTCGTATCCAATCACCTGAATGTACATTAACGACTGTTCCCATTAAATTTGATGAGCGATTTCTGATTTTCCACAATGCATCCATTGCTGCATGTGCCTTAGCTTCAAATATTGGTTCCCCACTTAGTCTTGATAGCGCTGCAAATTCTAATAAAATTGTTCCTGCACATGCTGTACACGTTTCACGAGAATGCTTTAATGCTTCCGACTTCATTCCATATTTTAAATTAATGCGAGCATGTGGAATTCCTGTAGATGTATTAAATGCCGGCAATAATCTATATCCAAGATCTTTTGCCATTTCAAGTAACTCGCCACGATACCAAATCATCATGTGAGCTTCTTTTTGTATATATTCAGCCAATATATGAGCTGATAATAATCCACCAAGCATTCTGATATTTGTCTCAAATACCGACACAATGATGTCATTATCAAATTGAACATTCTTGATAACTAGCTTAACTGCTGACTCAAATTCCTCGAAATCACCTAATATCACTAATGTATCTAGCGTGTCTACTAGTGTCATTGAGAAGCTAAAAGAGAAAAATATGCAAAATCATTCATTTCAAGATGTTCTAGAAGGAATACAATAATTGAGATTGGGACACGTCACATAAAAATTTAATTTCGCAGTTAATTCAATCCAGTTATCAGTGGGAAAACAATACAAACAGCTGTATCATGCAAAAAAAAGGAGAGATAAAAACACAAACTTTTGTGTTACATTTTCGTGTTGTTGAATATTTGGCAAATTTCATGTAATTATGCGTGCTATTGTTCACTTTAAATAAGGGGATTTCAAGGTTGAACATGTAACGGAATAATGAAATTTGAATTTTATGCTGTGTAATAATTCAAAATTTTAAAAAACCGTTAAAATTTAAATGAAACTTAAGGATTCTGATTTAGTTTCATTTAGGTACGTATGCTGAATAGCAGGTTGCAAAACATCCAGAAATCCTTGTTAAATGACAACAATTATAAATTGAGAGAAAACAAAGGCTGTCGTCAATGTCAAGTAAAACCAGTTAACACGTCTAGCTCCTAAGCGTATAATTTATTCACATTATAAATGCATCTCTCTAAATTTCGTTGTGTCTATTCGATGATTCATGACCTTGTTTTTTCACGCAGTTTTGTTTCTCAACATATTAATAAGACCAAATTTTCGACATAATAGGCACCAAATTGAAAACTGCTTCTTTTATGTAACATAATCGAACATAATGTGACGAAAATTTATGTTGGGGTATGTTGAGCATGCATACTTACTTTCCTAATGTATCATCTAAATCTCCTCTGGATGCAGAAATCCCTCTGATCCGTCCTTTACAGCTTAATGGCTGTAATTCATCAGCTGGAAAAGCATTGTCCATGTAAGCTCTATAAGCATGATAGAACATTTCTCGTGCCTAAAATAATAATGAAATCGCATTAGATTGTTATGAATACGTCAGTAAAAGTTGAAAAGATCCACAAAAAGTAGCAAAATTCACCTCTTCTCTGAAAATTGAGAAAAAAGTATGAAATATTAATTAAAATACATTCTAAAAGTCATCAATATGCTAAAGATATCAAGGATATTCAGCTTTTTGCTACTTACTTGAGCTCATTCTTTTCTTTTGACGAAAAAACGTCATTTAAATTATTTAAACTTTGTGAATATACTAAATTAAGAAAAAATGCTAAAACTATCACTAAACTTATGAGCTGATGCATTTGTGCACCATTCCTATGCACCAAATTCATTATTCTATTATATAGCTGTAACCGTTCATCGTTAGTATAGCTAAAAACCCAAAAATTATAATTCTACGATATTTTTTTACTATTTTTTTTCTTTCTTTCCTGTTCCTCAATGAAATTATTTTATGTCTGTCTGTCAAAAAGCTCAAATTTGAATTTTTAAACTACGTTGGAAAAGCTCAGTGAAATTTAAGTTCGATCTTTACGAATTTAATGGAACTAATGTTAAATCACAGGATTAAGGAAACAAGTCGCAAAAAATGTCTTATTGACTAGATAAATCCTGCAACAAAAGCAATAACTGGCTAAAATTTACAAATTAAGCTAAAACACAAAACTATAATTTTAAAATATCAAAAGCACAGCATCAATTTTATTCTTGATTTGCTTAATAAACTCACTAGACTTAAATCATTTATAGTCCTCGTCATCGCTGTCATCACACTCTTCATCCAAGTCAACGAAATCATCATCCTCATAAATAATTTTCTTTTTCTTTTCTTTGGGCTTTTTCTCGTCTGGAACTTCTTGTGCAACAACCTGCGATCGATGATGGAATATGAATGAAACTGTCTGTGTAATGTCCCATGCTCGAGATATAATTTCGTCTGGAATTTGCTTGTTATTTGAACAATGATACCATTGACTTAGATCACTTGTGCAGTCACTGCCTTCGGGTGGAAGTTTTACTTGAACATCATTCACACATCGTTTGCATTTGAATCTGTTTTAAGGAAAGGAGAATGATTGGTGATTCACAAAAAAAGGAGAAAAATAACGGTAAAAAAATATTCAAATTGAATGAAAAATTCAAATTCAAAAATAACGGCAAAAAGTAAATAACAATCACTTACATGTCGTGCGTGTCTGATTTAGTGTTCTCTTCCAACTTGAATAGTTCCTTTAACTCATTCATACTAAAATGTCTCTCTCCTTCGTCATTATCAACGACTGTATTACTTAATGCCTTCTTATGAGTTTGTCTCTGGAAAATCTTCTCTTCAATTGTTCCTGTAGCTACAAATCTATAAATAAAGCATGGCTTCTTTTGTCCATCTCGCCATACACGAGCCATAGCTTGCTCATCATTTGCAGGGTTCCAATCTGGATCAAACATAATTAAACGATTAGCACCGATTAAATTAAGACCACATCCACCAGCTTTAGAACTAAGCATGAATATAAAGAGACTCGAATCTGGTTTATTGAAATCCTCAACCATTTTTCCACGCTTTTTGATCGTCATTGAGCCATCAAGTCGACAATATTGATAGCCACGCTTTCGACAAAGCTTCTCAAAAAGATCCAATGTCTGTGTATAGTTTGAGACTAAAACTATCTTATCATCACTATTAGCCTTAATTGCTGCTAGCATAACATCCAGCAATAGCACTTTACCACCGTATTGAGGCATTAAGTCACGAGAACTATAATTTGGTGGTAAATATTGCTGAGCATTTTCAAATCCATCTGCACCTTCATTAATCTTCTCAATGACTAGTTCTGGATGACTGCAAAGTTTTTTAAGTGATGTGATATTTGAAAGTGCTCGAGCACTTCCTTTCTCGCCATTAGTACTTGATAATGATTTACGAATTAAATCGGACTTAAGGAAATTCTTGTAAATATCTACTTGACACTGAGTCATTTTGACACAAACGACCATCTCGAACTTTACAGGCAGGTATTTTGTCAGCAATGAGCTAGTACGACGGATCAGGAATTGATTGACTAAGGCCGATAACTCCTGAAGCCGTTCATTTGCTTTTTCACGTTCCTTATCAGAACTGCAAGCATCCTGTCCTTTTAAAATTGGATTCTCATAATGTCGCTTAAATTCGCTGTTGTTTCCCAAAATTCCTGGATTCACAAAGTTCACCAAGCTATAATACTCAAGTAAATCATTTTGAATTGGTGTTCCTGACAACAAAACTCGTCTTTTCGTTTTTAATCCCATTAAAGCTTGATATGTCAAATTTTCGTTATTTTTAAGGCGATGACCTTCGTCACACAGCACTAATCCAATTTCAGATGCTGTTAATATCTCAGCATAAAGTCGGAATGTCTCATAGCTTATAATTAACACTGGAGCACCACAACGAGCACTCTGATTTGCCATATAAGTATTTAATAGCTCAATAGTTTTATCCTTTGACTCGTTTGCAATTGCTAGACAAGTTACTCGACTTCCAAGCCACTTTCCAAACTCATTGTACCAATTTTTGACTAGTGATGAAGGACAGACGATAATTGCTTTAATTATTTCAGGCTTACAATCTGGACTTTGTCTTAATAATGTCCATACAAGTGTAATGCACTGTAAAGTCTTTCCTAAACCCATCTCATCAGCCATAATACATCCATTCCAGTCTCCTTTTGCTCCGATTACACAGTCATACATGAATTTAACTCCTTCACGCTGATGTGGACGAAGTACATTGCATAAAATTGGATCAACCACAACATGAACTGGTTTATTTGTGTCGTCATAATTGTCTGTGTCCTTGAATATTGGTGTATATAGCACTAAAGCATTACAAAGTGTTGGATCGTGAAGTGGTCTTCGGACCAATATTTTCCGTATTCCCAGTGTCTTATTCGAATATTCAGGTATATAATCAGCAATTGGAACTTTAAATGCCTTACTAAGTAGCTCAGCAATAACAGCTTCATGATCCAGGATTGAGAATTTTAATGGTCTTGGAACTATATTTTCAGCATTTGCTTTTGTCTTTCTAACCGATCTCTTGCCTAAAGTTTTGTCAACTAATGGAGATACAAAGGCACGAGATTTCGGTGTTGTGCTCAATTCTATGTCCAAAATTGCCTTCCTTACTATTTTTGGTGATTCGCAGTTTGAGAGTGATTTATCAATTAACGGTGACACAAATGCTCCAATTTTACATGAACTGTCTTCCTGCTTTACTTTCTTAAGTGGCTTCGGCGATTCCAATAAGTCAATAGCTGGATTGTCGATTAATGGTGATTTGAATCCTTTAAATTGATTCTTTCGCTGAAAATTCAATGAAATCTTATTAGTCTGGTTTGAACTTGATGCTTGTTAAGTAGATCTTGTTTTGCTTAACTAGTTCAATTGATATTTATAGCTTATTCTTACCATTTTATTGCACTTATTGACAAAATTGTGAAAGAATTAAATATTTTTGTTGTTGAACTATTTTTCCGCTACAAAAATATTTGAATTTGGATAGTCCGTTATAGATAATAGATCAAGGAACTATAATTATCCCAAATTTATGTATAAGGAACTTGATTTCAGCTGCTTATCACGTGCAATTATGTCAAATAATCCATATAATATCATCTAGTAACCATGAAATAACAAGTCAACGAGTAGTAATCGATAACGTAAAATTGCCATTTAATATGGACTGGATCTTTAATGTTTACATTTTTTTCTATAATAGCAAAAAGATCCAAAAAATAAAATAATTTATTAATTATAATAGAAATGTTTTAAAAGTAGTGATAATAAGCAACGTACCGAAAAGAAAAGGTTGCTAGAACTTTAGTAAATTCTAATAGATGAGTAGACAATGCTGATAAGCTGAAAAAAGATGATGATGAGTGTAAGGAACAAATTATGAATTATAAAATTAGCAATTAAACCTTCAACATTCTTCTTATTTGCAGTTTAAACAACTCTTTACGAATGTAGTATTTTCATCTACATCTTTGCTTTATATAGCTGCAGCATCTGCTCTTTCCTGCTTCATTATCTTCTATTTTGTAAGCGGAATACTTGCATTTTTGATCTTGTGTTCAATTATTTTTGGTAAATCATCTTAATTAACATCCAGCAATAAGCTATTCAAGTTATTAATGACATTCTGTTTAATTTTCAGCCTTATTTTACTCGATTCAAGACAACTTTCTATTCTTTCCCGATATTGGACTTCATCGATCGCACATTCAAGTTCCAAGCATCTATAATCTACCGTATGAAACTGTCTACATTAAGACACGTGATAAAATCACCCTACATGCATATTTCATAAGACATCCTGAACAAAAAGGCGATTCTGTACCAACGATAATCTTCTTTCACGGCAATGCTGGAAATATTGGAGGGAGATTAATCAATTGTGTTGGCATCTACAATAATCTTCAATGTAATGTTTTATTAGTCGGTACGTAGATTACAATTTTATTCATCTGCCCTGTTTCTTATCATCCATAAAACATTAATTTATAGAATATCGAGGATATGGATTAAGCACTGGAACGCCAAGTGAAAAGGGACTTTATGTTGATGGACGAGCAGCAGTTGATTATTTATTTACAAGACATGACTTAGACCATTCACAAATAATATTGTTTGGAAGGTCGCTCGGCGGTGCTATTGTAAGCCTTTACATTCTTTTATCATGTCTAAAAATAATTATTTTATTTATCATCTATGCTTACAGGTGATAGATATTGCAGCAGACACAAATTATGGATCAAAACTGTGTGCATGTATTGTTGAAAATACTTTTACGTCAATTCCGCAGATAGCAAGGCATTTAATACATTTTACTAAATACATACCATTGATATGCCATAAAAATAAGGTAATGCATCGTCATTTTGATATCATTTTATTATTTAACTCGTACCGACTTGCTTGATTTGGTTTACACTACGACTTAAATTAATTATTGCTGATCTCAAATTACGGAGAATCACAATAATTTCGAAGAAATCCTACTAATAAATTAGAAAAATATCTTTTAATGCCGCCTAAATTTAATGAAGCATACTCAACATTCGATACTTTATCAATCTAGTTTTAATTGGTAGTTCAACATTTTCTAAGAAAACTCTTAATAATAATCTCAACGATATCTTCATTAATTAATTAATTTTGTTCTTTCCAACAGTTTACTTCTATAGATAAAATTGAAAAAGTAACAACGCCAATACTCTTCATTTCTGGTCTTAATGATACCCTGGTGCCACCCTCAATGATGTCAGCTCTACACAGTCTTTGTAAGAGCTCTAGAAAACAATTATTTCAGCTGTCGGGTGGGGGTCATATGGATACATTCTTAATTTCTGGGTGAGTTCTTGTATTTATTTTATTTATTAATTAGTAAATTTTGCTGAAATCGTTTGCTAATTGGAATCAAATAATTATGATACGTCGTTTTGATTTCCTCGGTTGAGTAGCGAAGATTTTATTTGTCTCGATTGGTTTCCAAGAAAACAACTTAGTTCAAAATATTGTAACTTTCTAATTAGAATGTTTCTTCTAAAGTCCTTAGACTTACTAATGAGTTAATGTCACTATCTTATTAAATATAATTGCCACGCAACTTCTTAATTTATCAAAATAATTGAGTAAGAAAAAACAACAGTTGCAATGATTGGAGATTTTGTTGAACTTGATTTGAATACTTTAAAACAATAGCTAAAGAGTATTAAGCTTAAAAAAGTAAATTTTTAAACAACTTGTTGCTTTCAATCACTGAGCTTTCGAGGGTTAGATGATTCATTGCAGTTTCTGTTTCAACAGTTTCACTCGAATTTCCACTAATGCGACTTTAGCGATTTTGTTCAATTTAGTAGATTCAAGAATTAAAGTATATCCTCTTTTGCAGCACATACTTTTAAATGGCATTAATTAACTTCATCACATAATCTTTAATTGATTACGAATTTAAGTTTGAGTAAATTTTGATAATTAAAACTTCTTTTAAGCATTGACAACATTGCCCCATGTTAATACATATGATTTTTGAGATATTTATTTATTTGTATCCGTTGATATAAATCCATCTTTAATGCTTGTCGTCAAGGCAACATCAATAATTGATCATTAACCTCACTTGACGTAAAATGCTCATTGAAGTGATTCAGAAGAGAACTGAATTTTATTCTTACCTTTCGATGTATATATGCGGTATAGTCATTATTGTTAGGATCGATGGTTGTAAATTAAAATTGACTCTTATAACTTTGTGCTTTTAGCATGTACCGTTGTTTATTATTATGATGATGAATTCTCTCAGGTTATAAAGCCTGCAAAATGAGAGGAAAATAGTACATTTATATGTACGAGGGATAAAAAAAAGAAGAAGTAGAAGTAAGTGAAGGAAACAAACAAACAAACAAACAAACATACATCAAATATTAAAACTCACTAAAGAAAAGAAAAATACGGGAAATTGAAGCAATAAGACATGATTTCCCAGTAGATACTTTCCTTCCTTCAAATAAATACATTTATAAGGAAATAAGAGAGAGAAAAAAAGCTCAATGTGTATGTTATGCTTACATCATGATGTATTTATACTTCCATCATCATCATTATTCTTTTAGCTACCATAAGTTCATATCTGTATATTGTCCATATCATATTGAACAGAAATTATCATTTCTCAAATAGATCGAATAGATTGATAGCTCCATAACTTCATTAAATACAAAGCTCATATAAAATTTACACATGAATGTATGGGATATAAATTCTCACAAGAAGTGGATTTACATTATCAGCCATACGCATTTTTGATGGGGAGAATATTAGATTTCAGAATGATCGAGGCATTGAGGCGAGTTTCAGTCTAATGGATTTAATTCTGCATGCTTTTTACATTCATCTAGAGGATTAATTGAAGCCTACAGTTTTAATGATTTTTCGCTCCTATTGACATTGTTTGCTCTGGTTTGCATACATTGAATAGACTTTGTAAGCTGCTTATTGATAAAAATTTTTCTGAAAATGAACTTGGGCCAATGAAATTTTATCAAAATCAGCTCAACAACAGTCATAAAAATCTTTGCTTAAAGCTTTGTTGTAAGCTACAATACGAAGTTAAAATTTAAAAATGTTCATTCACTTTGGGGACATCTGAAAGGCATGTCCAACGCTTAAAAGTCTGGTGCTGCATGCTTCAAGTTGAAACTGATTTTACTTCAAGTTGGGCTTCATTAATAATGCGAAGAGGTGTCTAGCACCTTCAATTTTGTATATCATACACATACCTTTATCACATCAGCGATGTAGCCTACAGAAGTCGCATTTGTGAATAATGCCTTAGTATAACATAATCCCAGACTCAGACGTCATTTCTGCATAACTCTAAAGCACTTCGACCCATCAAAATGTAAGCAATAGAAGTGCATTCACTTATGGAATATGGCTCGAAGAATGAGATGAGAAAAAAATAAGAGTCCTAAGAGGATCTATCATGTATTGAGAGCATCCGTTTTTCTTTGTATTTTATGCGAATATAGTGTATGTATATATTTATATTTCCTGTTTTGTGTGTGGGCCAAGCGAAAGCTTAAGGCCTGGTGATGTTTTCTCATTGTTGCATGAATAATTGAATCTGACAAAAAATGGAAAGGAAAAAGGTACAAGCCTGAGAAGAAGAGAATTTACAGTCATGAATAAATAATATTTTTTATGGTAATGGATGAAATGAAACAAGAGCAAAAAAAGGCTACAAATGTTTTGTAATCTCAGGGAGGGTAAAAAAAATTGAGAAGCAAAAACACAAAACGAGAACTGAACCAGCAGCTGAAAAAAAAAGCTTAAAGAGAGAAATAAAATTTGAAATTATGAATTTTACATGGCATAAGACGGAAGAGAATCGAATATGAAGTTTTTTTTTTCGTCCTGAATATGCTAATAATTAAAATATAATGAATTTTGAAGTTTTTACCATTTTTTGCCTTTTTGTTTGATCTTTCCTTTTTACACACTGAATTATTAAAGCACTGAAAAATAATCACAAACAAAAGTCAAAGAGATGAGAAATGGAGCATAAAAATGTGAGATGATAAATTTTTAAAATCATTTACATGCCTTACCTTCTACCTCTGTTTATTGAATACATGGAACTAATCTAGTATGTTGATGATATCAAGGAACGCATTTTAAATTAAGAACTTAGGGATTGAACTGAAGAAGCAAGACTTAAGACAATTTGGTAAGTCAAAGCAGGGTCTATTAAATGGATTATCAAAACTTTAAGTATCAAAAGAAATAATCTCAGTTATCATTGAAAAATTTTAAAACTAGTTTAATCTAAGTTGCAATTAAACCTTTGTTTAAAATAGTTTGAAATTGAGTTGACTTCAAGTTAACTACAAGAATAATTCAAGAAGAAAAAGCAAGACTTCGTCAACCATGAATTGTGAGTAAACTCCTTAAGTTAATTCCCAGACAGATTAGTCAAAGCTAGAACTGAATTCTTTATCTAATAAAATCATGCGAATTATTTGAATAAGAAAATTTCATATGAGCCAGAAACATTTTAAGAAGCTATAAAAAATTGTTCCCTTTACAACTCTGATGTGAGAAATAGAAAAGAGGAACTTTTTTATAGTCTTTACTTGCATTATACTAAATTGCTTTGAAAATGAAGCTAATTTTCCAAACCATTTCTTGTTTGCTGTGAAGTGAATGACATGGCATGAAATAAAGCTGTTTATTTACCGACTTTACAGTATATTGTAGTCAAAATAGATAAAATAAATGAGTGAAATGAGCATACATGTTGATTCCGGAACAAAGTACAAGACCATCACTCATCCCTTCTTCATTCATCCGGTTTCAATAATTTTTCTCATTTGGCAGCGAATTATACAAATTAATATGTGAGTAAGCATATACCACATACTCAGCTCGACTGTAAAACCGGAAAAAAGGATTAATTTTCATGAGTTTGAGTAAGCCAATGAACTAAATTATTACTATCACTTTACTTTAGTCGAATTTCTCGTACAATGTTGCTGTTGCTGCTTCGACTATATACGTATAATATCCGTATAGTTTCGAATAAATTTCAACTGTTTCCAATTTTAATATTTAAATGCGATAAAGTAATAATGATGAAGAGCATTGAGCAGACATACACTAAAGTACATTTATTATTCATAATTCAATTTAATTTTTGTATTCATCTGGGGAGTTTGGGGTTGGTTGAGAGTTTTTGAATATGTAATATGTGCGAGAATGAAATGAAAAGGTGAAAAAAATGTTTGTTTTCATCATAATTTTACTCTTGTGAATTCAACACTTTTTATTCCATTTATTTGTCTATCTTTCATCCATCTATGATAAGTTGGTGCTGATGAGTGGAAGGTTTTGGTTAAAAATGATTGTTTTGAGTGAATGGATTGAAGTATTAAGGTACAGGAGTGTCTATTGTAATAGCTTAAGCAGTTTTTCCAACACTTACTGGCTTGATAGGCAAGTGTCAGCATAAGTTGAGTTAAGAACCTGAGACATTTGTTGATTTGAAACGATAAGTCAGGAAAAGGATAGCACTAGCTTCTTAAAGATAGAACTTATTCTTAAGTATGTTTGCAGACGTTATGGTTAGTTTGGTTAAAGTCTATATAACATCCCTAGTTCCTATTTGTCAATTTAATCAGTGCCAAAGCTTCATCACTTTGCTCCCACTTCACACCCAGAGACCAATCGCTCCAAACAATGCACGTATATCCTGTTCCATCCATTGTTTGTTGATCATTTTAATTATGGAATGAGAGTACAGAAAAAATATTATTACTGCAAATATGTGGTGATGTATGGCATTCACTGTCGGAAGTGCTATAAACTTTGCAGTTTTAATGAATTATGTGTCATGACAAATATTTGAATATTAATATAAAAGTTGATGAATCTTTCATGCTAAAAAATTTACTGCATTATGAATTTTTATGGCTTTGGTCTATGGCACAGATGGAGGTAGATTTATTAAAAATTCCTCAATTGGCTCTCTGCTTGATTTCAGTACATTCTAATTTCATTGGAAGAATTCACGTACATTTACATGAAAATTAAATTCATAATTTTCCATTTTTTTTTGTGTCTTCTCATTCATTGTACATATTGCGTATATGCTGATGTACTGTAAACAAATGAGAAGAAAAACTAAAAAATCCAAAGAGATGATATGAATTATGTAAAATAATTAGGCTTATGTGAACCTGAAATATTTACATAAATACATTCTGCCGGCAGGGTTTTTCTCTTCAAGCTTTTCTGCCATTGCCATACCATACGTCGACAGTTACTGACAAAAAATGGGATTTTCATGGCAT